TCACACACACATACAAACACACACATACACACTCACACACACATACAAACACACACATACACACTCACACACACATACACACTCACACACACATACAAACACACACATACACACTCACACACACATACACACATAAACATCTGAAAACGATATACAGATATACAAAGATATTCAGACAGACCAATATACAGATGGGCACATTGATAGTCACTCAGACAGGAAGACATATCGACAGAGCCAAGGATAGAATGACCCAAAAGTACAGAGAATGAGAGACACAAAGAGAGCAGAATTGGGGGAAAGATACGAAGAGAGATAGATAGAGAGATACAGAAAGAGAGAGAGAGAATGAGAGAAAGTGATAGTGTCTGTGGGTGTGTGTGAGAGAGAGAGAGAGAGAGAGAGAGAGAGAGCGAGAGGGAGAGAGAGAGCGAGAGGGAGGGAGAGAGAGAGAGAAAGAGGGGGGGTGGCTGGGATATAGACAGACACACAATAACAATTTTAAAAATTGTGTTTATTAGATATTATACAAATTTGACGTGGTAGTTAAAACAGACTCGACCAAAATAATATCCATATGTGTTCGAAAGAGATAAAGTGGGATGACTAGAGAGCGAGAGAGAGAGAGAGAGTGAGAGAAGGGAGGAAGAGAGAGAGAGGGGGGAAAGGGAGAGAGATGGGGGAGGGAGAGAGAGAGGGAGTGTGGTGGGGACAGTTGGACAGACCGATAGACAGACCGATAGACAGACCGACAGAAAGAAACGCAGGAAGAGAGAGAGAGAGAGAGAGAGAGAGAGAGAGAGAGAGAGAGAGAGAGAAAGAGAGTGAGAAAAAGTGTGTGTGTGTGTGTGTGTGTGTGTGTGTGTGTGTGTGTGTGTGTGTGTGTGTGTGTGTGTGTGCGTGTGTGTGTGTGTTTGTGAGTGTATGTGGGTCTATGTATGTGCGTGTGCACTCACGAGTGCTTTTAGTTTCGAGAATATATCCTGTCCCAAACCAGCTGTCAGATCAGACCAACAAATGGATCTCTCATGCCTTTAACTCACACAGCCGTGTTTCTTGTACTGTTTTAGCCTTGATGAATACCCAGCGACCCGCTCTGATGCAACACAGCTGGGAGGCCAACCAACAGAAAAATGCTATGCCAATGCAGAAATCAACAGATTTTGAAAAAAACACAAAAAGAGCAAAGTTCCACCCTCTCCCCCCTCCCCATAATCCCGTTCTTCCCCTAAAAGAATAATAAAAAATAAACACAATTTTTTTAATCAACTGCAGCAAACAAACATAATATTATTCAAATTTAAGGAAACCGTTTGATGAGAGGTTGAAATTATAAATTGAAGAAGGCCGAGTTATGAAGGGCTTCCTGACTTGAGAAAAAGATGGCTTTGGGCTAATGAGTCGTGAAGACTTTATTTTTGTGTGAGTATTATTCCCCGTTGTTTTTAAAAACATGTTGATTGTTTCTTAACATGGGAAGGCTCTTTGGGCAAGTGAAACAGGCAGAGAGAGAAAGAGAGAGATGGAAGGAGAAAGAGAGAGAGAGAGAGAGAGAGAGAGAGAGAGAGAGAGAGGAAGAGAGCGAGAGAGAGAGAGAGAAAGTGTGTGTGTGTGTGTGTGTGTGTGCGTGTGTGTGTGTGTGTGTGTGTGTGTGTTTGTGTGTGTATGTGGATCTATGTATGTGCGTGTGCACTCACGAGTGCATTTTGTTTCGAGAATATAGCCTGTCCCAAACCAGCTGGCAGATCAGACCAACAAATGGATCTCTCTAGCCTTTAACATGTTTTCTCACACAGCCGTGTTTCCTGTACCGTCCTAACCTTGATGGATACCCAGCGACCCGCTCTGATACAACACAGCTGGGAGGCAAATCAACAGACAAATGCTATTCCAATGCAATAATTTGACAAGGGATTTTAACAAACAATTAAAAAAATAACAAAGAGCAGCATCTTCCCTTCCCCTCCTAAAAAAAATGTATGAACTGTAATGAACTGCATATTATTCAAATTTAAGGAAACCGCTATAGACCCACTGATGAGATGCTGAAATTACAAGTTGAAGAAAGCCCAGTTATAAAGGGCTTCTTGACTTGAGAAAAAGATTGCTTTGAGCTAATGAGTCGTAATGATTTTTGTGTGAGTATTATTCCCTGTTGTTTTCGAAAAGATGTTGATTGTTTCCTTAACATGGGAAGGCTCTTTGGGCAAGTGAAACAGGCAGAGAGGGATAGAAAGAGAGGGGGGAGGGAGAGAGAGAGAGAAAGAGAGAGAGCGAGAGAGTGCATGGGAGACAGACAGACAGATAGAGATAGTGAGAGATAGAGAGAGAAGGAAAGAGAGAGAAGTAGAGACAGAAGGAGAGATAGAGGAGGGGGGGAGTTGGTTTGTATGTGTCTTTGCTTATTTGTATGTATGTGTCAGTATGTGTCTGGGTGTGTTTGAAAGCTGGACAAAAGGATAGAGAGAGAGAAAGATAGACAGATAGAGAGAAAGATAGAGAGACAGAGAAAGATATATATAAAGAGAAGGAGAAACAGAGATAATAATAATAATAATAATAATAATAATAATAATAGATAGCATTTGTATAGCGCATATCCCCGCTCAACAGCAGGCTCTATGCGCTTTACACTATATTATTACCCCAGCAGACCATAGAACACTCCGAAACATTCTCAGCTTCCCGGGAAGCATACAGTGCAAGCTGCGGATTTCACGCGCTCAAACACTATCAAACTGACAAAATCTTTCACTGTCTATAGCTGGGTACCCATTTCCACCTGGGTGAGGTGAGGAAAATTCGTGTAAAGTGCCTTTCCCAAGGACACAACGTCGGGCCCCTGACGGGATTCGAACCCACGACCTTACGGTTGCGAGTCCGAGAGCCTAACCACTAGGCCAACGACGCCAAATAGAGAAAGATAGAGAAAGAGAGAAAGCAAACAGAGAGAAAGATTGTGTGTTTACATGTGTGTATGTGTGTATGTATGTTTCTGTTGGTCAGCGTCTATTTCCAAACGCTCAGTGAAGTATGTGTCCCAAACCACCCTGCTACCTGGGCCGTATTAACAATGATGAAACAATTGCACATGTCCAAGTCGTACAAATGATATCATTTTAAATCGAATCTTAGTCTTGATACTGTTAAACCAGTACAAAACGGCCCCCTCCCCAGCCCCCCACCCCTTCACACACACACACACACACACACACACACACACACACACACACAAACACACACACACACACACACACACACACACACACACACACACACCCGCGCACGCACACACAGGGGCGAAGGCTGACTTGTTTGACAGGGTAATCAAAGTGAGATGAGACCAGATAGGGCCTGGAGATATCACACTCACACAAGTCACAAGAATCTTACTGGAGGCGGCAACTCTGAGTTGTGAATGAAAACAAATCCTGAATTCAGGTTGTATGCATATTCAACCGCTAAAATAATCGGGAAAGTATCTAATTAATTTAATATTTATTCTAACTAACCTTGAATTTAACTTTAGATTTGAATACTCGAACACCTGGGAAAGAAGCAGAGATGTCAGTACTACAATGGCAGGTTATACCAGACAGTCTAAACACTTTGGAAGAGCATGCCATTTATTAATTTTTTATTTCCCATTTGGCTGTTTTTGTCTATCTTTTCGCGGCCAGCAGACGGTGTTATAATCGAGGTCACGATCTGATTATAGGTATAGGACGTTAAAAAGTCGAGGAAAAAAACAAAAAACAAGCACTCGCAGCAGTCAAGATATTATTAGGAGTTAGTTCCCCTCACACCTGTGAGGTAGACTCGACCGTGTAACAGTTAGCTTACAAAATCAGCGCGTGTGGCTGCTTATAACTGTGGCTTGAAAGGGTTGAACAAGGTATATGTGGCAATGAAACAGTTTTGACTGCTATGCACCTTCAACTCTATCGGTAGACTCTTCCAGCCTCACTTTAAGCTTACTTAATCAAAGCTTGTGACTGCTTATGAAGTGGCCCGATAGGGGCGAACAGGCTATTTCTGTGGCAATGAAACGGTTTTGAAGGTTAGGCATAGTCTATTGTTCATTGGTGATTATGAACGTCTTTTTGCATTTAATTTATGAGGTTTACGTCTATGGGTGAATTTGACTGCGACAATGTTTCAAAATTGGGAAGGGAAGCAGTGATTATTTGATTATAATATACGCTTCGCGACTGCACAAACACACACACACACACACACACACACACACACACACACACACACACACACACCAGATTGCCTAGACAAACGTTTCTCTTGGATTGCTCACTCAAACAATCTAAGCGTTTCGTTCTAGAATCTAAACATTGTTGTATCCCTTTTTCCGCAAAAAGAGACCCCGGTCTTCCTGCATAAATATTTCCCATTTCTACCCTTAAAAAAACACCAGGCTCTTAAACTTTCTGCCCTTGAATGATTTGCTCGTCTGGTATCACTCTTTATTTGGCCTTCTTTTTAACGGGAAGACACAGGAAGTTTGGGGAATAAATAATTTTAACCTCCCTGTCTAATCCTTTAATATCATTTGCACACTGGGATCGCGAAACACGAAGGGTTTTTTATTCACTTAATTTCTGAAGTTGTATTCGTCTTTGGGAAATCCTGAAAGAGCGCGGTTAGAATGTATCAATCGATGCAGAGAGGAGAGACAGACAGAGAGAGAGAGAGAGAGAGAGAGAGAGAGAGAGAGAGAGAGAGAGAAAGCAGCGAGAGAGACAGAAAGAGAGAGACAGAGACAGACACAGAGAGATAGAGAGAGAGAGAGAGTGAGAGAGAGAGAGAGAGAGAGAGAGAGAGAGAGAGAGAGAGAGAGAGAGACGCAGAGAGAGAGAGGGGGTGGGAGAAAAGAAACAGATGAGATAGTGATAGACTGATTGAGAGAAAGAAACAGTGAAAGTCAGGGGGAGAGAGAGAGAGAGAGAGAGAGAGAGAGAGAGAGAGAGAGAGAGAGAGAGAGAGAGCTAGACAGAGAGAGTGAAAGAAAGAGTGAAAGAGAGAGAGGGGACAGCGGAGAAAGAAGTCCAAAGAATTTTCATATATATTTATATTATGCGGTTCTTGTAAATTGTTTGTAATTAAACCCAACACTCGTGTATTATTTGTCTCAAAGTCTAGTATCTGCAGGAATAGCTGGCGGTCTGTCTTCGAATCTTCTATTCTTCGAAATGGTGAGTTAGGCATCGTGATGAAATCAGGAGCTCGTCAAAATAATGAAATCGAAGATATTGACATTTTCCCGCCGGTTTAGGTATTTTTATCGAACTGTTGGGTGGTTTTTCTTTCTTTTTTGTGGGGGGGGGGGGGGAGTCAACACCTTTTATGTCTATTTGATAAAACATTTCTGTGTGGATTTTACTGATAAACGTTGATGAAACAAACAGAATATATATATTTTCGGATTCCAAGGACTCACAAGCTCAGCAAATCACCAAACTTTGACGGCCATTTTCTCGTAAATTTTCCCTCTGATTTTCTACGTTAACCAGGCGACCCCAATCTCCTTCAGTGGCAAATATTTCAACTTCTATTCAAGACAGATGGGTATTTTTTCATCAAAAGAAACTCAAATGAATAAGCTTTAAACTGATATCAACAACTTTAAATGCCCAAAAACTGACGAGTGCCTGATCTTACCACCTCCTGAATTATTCATGACACGGTCACATTGACAGCTTCGGCGGGACACTCGTACAAAGTGGCCGGCTGAAAACGTAGTCTTTCGATAAAATATCGTTCTCCAAGCCCTTTCAAATAAACAGACGATTGGGGGGGGGGGGGGGGGGGGGGGGG